CACACGACTCTGGCCTTCCAAAAGATGAGAGGCTGAAAATGTACTCACTTGCGAGAGAGGTGTTCCCCACAGGGAACTGACATCCAAGCGGTCGTTCATTTGGAAGGCTCGAGACGCCCATATCCACTTCAATGCAATCTACCTACCCTACGCTTCTTGGCCCATTTCAAAAGGTGACAGGTTGAAAAATTTTCTAATTTGACGAATAAGATTTGTCTATGGGAAGCTGGCTTCCAGAAAGCCCCTCATTTGAAAGGTTCAGGCACCCACGTGCACTCCCATTCACTCTACCCAGCGAAGGACACCTGGAACTTGTCTCCCTGTTTGTGACCATATTTGCGTAGGTACAGTTGAGATCGTCGCAGTTAGTCGGGGCATTGTCAGGAGGAACTGAATGAGCCTACCCGCAGGGTGTTCTGCCATCGGCTGTTCTCCCTGACCAATCACTATTGGTCAGAAAAACCCAGCTGGGGTGGGCCCATTCCACGCCTCTGGGCACTGCCCCGACTGAATGCGACGACGGCCACTAGAACTTTCCGCGCTATTTTGAAAGCATTTTCACGATGATGATGCGATCCCGCGGCCTGTGCAGTAGGATAAAGACGTGTGTGAAGATTGGAGTATTCGCTGAGCCTTCGAGGTTACAAGAAGGATTGTGGATCTCCCATCATTCTCGATGAACTTTAGTCAAAGACTGGCTGATAAAAGGGGGCAAAAAATGACGCGTTTGCGTCATGCTGTGTCTGCATGTCTGCGCCCTCTCACCAACATATTGATAGGGATGGATTAGAAGTGGTTCTCACAAGATTCATGCACATTCTTCATGCGGGGAATCGATTGCGAACTTGGTGAAACGAGATGGGACAGTCAAAGTTTCTTTTCGTATGCCCCTTTTGCCCCCTTCATGTACCTTTGCGCCGACGTTCCCCCATTTAAGTTGGATGATTTTCAGCAGCGGTAAATCAAATAGGTCTTTTGGGCTCATCAATACCGCACATAGGCGTGCATACCTGGATGAAAGCCTCGCGCTCTTGGCGCATTTCCCTATATGCAAGTGGATTCGTGGTGTCATCTTGATATGAGTAGTAGTTCAACGGCGAATATTGTGTTGAACCTGCAAAAGAAGCTGCTTGTTCTCAAAGCTGTTCTGAAAATTTTGAATTTTGCGATAAATATGAGAAAAAATGGCAGGATTGTCGTTGAACGCTCGCTCCACGCTAATCATATGGGCGGACTTCCTCAAAACTACTGAAACCCATCCCTAATTAGCACGCATACCTCCTCGCCATCTCAGAAGAAGGCAGTCTGGCAGCTCTCGAACTTAGTCCGTTTAATCGCTCCAGTTTTCTGTTTTTCTCTGCGCTCTCACGTCTGCATAACATTCTATGACCACTGTGACCTCACGCATTGCAGCTGTTCACGCATGGTGTGACTCACTTCCCCCAGGAGTCCACCACTTGTTGAAGCCTAGCTCCTGGCGCGCCACATGTTTTTAGCACCTCTTGAAGCTCTAACAGCAGCTGTTCCCTAGCTGCCTGCAAACAGGGCTTGCAAAGGACCATCCATCAAATGGTCCCGTAACCAGCGTGCAGCCATTGATGGAGGGAGCACTGGTCCAAGTAGCCTTGAACCAACGCGAATGCGGCCCTTGTACTGAACAACGCGGAGTGGCCCTTAGTCGGCATTTCGAGGGACCATAGCCTTTTCTTTTCTTTCCTTCACCATGCTTACCAAGCACTGCTTGTGAGAATTGCTCCTCTAGAATACCAGAAAGTATGGTACTGTGCAGATTTGAGGGTCTACGCCCAGCTAAATCTCAACCCCTTTATAGCACTTCTTCTTCACTTTACGCTCTCTGCTCGGAGGCGGTTGTATGGGCACTTTGACCTTTCACATTCCACTGTTTACGCAATATAGGTGGTCATCACCACCCGATATCCCTTCCCCTCGAAAAACTCATCTCCTGGCTCGCATCGTGTTTTTTGTACCTCACGATGCCTTGGCAGTGGCAGTCCCTTATTGCTCTGCGCTCTGGCCTATCGTGGCAGGACCCCCACCAAAAGTTTTAGTTGTCACGTAACGACTTTTGAGGGTTCCCTACATGTCTCTTTGGCCGTTCAGACGCTTCCCGCCCCTTTTTAATCAAGTAATAGCTCTAAATCTCAACCCAAGTGGTACAACTCGTCTTTGCTGCCATCATGCCCTAGAGAACTCTTCAAAAGTACCTGTCAATGAGCAGTACACTTCGTTGATTGGTTGTCCATTGTGTTCACCACATGTAGAACTGGCTCGGATAGTTTACGGTGCGAAATCGTCAGCAGACTCGGCGTCAGCACCTGAGCAGACGTCACTGTCCATAGCGCTGCTAAAAGCAGCACCAAAGACGTCATGACGCTACTGACAGCTGAAATGCATCTATTACTTCAGTAGTTGTTTGGTACTGGAAAAGGTGTACGCGAAGACATGAAGTTACTCTGTTCATCACTGGTAATAACCTAACAAGAAGCGCTGAACCTTGTCGCTGAAGGTTCCCTAACCTTTTTTATACCCTGTTTTCGATATAAGGCACATTTATTTCAGCACGAGCGGGGGAGGGTGAGACGCCGCCAAAAGCGAAGTTCTGAGTGAGACAATCGCTTCTCAGACTATAACTTCTCTTTCTTATAACGTTTGGGCTTCTGGGACGACGATTTGTTTCAGAAGTTAGGCCGGTAAAAAGTTTCACCTAACAACCCCGCTGGCACAGGAGAATATCCGCAAATTTACTTTTTTTTTTAGTTCTCTTTTGCATATTTTATTTTCTTATGAGCACACAACACGTCTTATTCAATATAGATCGTTTGCATAGATAAGAACATACGAAAACCGCAAAAGGATAGCCAAAAAGTATTCTTGACACTAAGGCAAGGTGCGCTCTAAATCCTGGTGCGCCTTGTACTCCGAGAAAAATATGTAGGATACAGTCTTGTTATCTCTGTGGATGACGGGGCATTTCCTCGGTTCAGGCTGGGTTCGATGCAGCCCACTCCCTACAGTGGTAGAGAGCGGCAAGCGGGCGACCATTGTGGAAAATGAGAGTAACGATACAGTCTTTGTCCTGATAAGAAAAAGAGGAAGAAGAAAAACGCTCGGTGCCACTCCTGTTCATCTGAATGCCCCCCCAACCCTCAAGCACGCTCCATCGCCCTCAGCGACCAAGACTGGTAGTTAGTTCATAAAAGGTGGAGCGCAGGTTGGGATAGTGCCATTCCTTCTGATGTGAATAGATAGCAAAGCAAAGCTTTCCTAAAAAATATGGCTAATTTTTATGACGCTCTTAAGCAAGCTAACAAACTAACGTTTCAAAATTTGAAGAAAAGTTCTGAAAGAAATATGGGTTCTGCTTCTCTGGGAGCAGCTCTGTTCCTTCTTTCAACGATAGCTATCGGAGCGATAAGTAGAGCCAGAGCCTGCAGCGATCAAGAGAGATTGGAGTTTAGTGAATGAGATCATGAATCTTCTAGAGCTGTCAGTCTGTTCGTGCTCCGAGGTGGGGGTTCCTCCATAGAAAGGTGGGTCGAGTTTTGCATTTGGTGAATGAACATTTCTGACTCAATGAGAGAAGAACACAAGAAGGGAAAATATTCGATTTTTCCCGTTTCAAATTCGTTATTTGCTTGTATTTGTTCGATTTTTTCTGTTTCAAATGTAAAACTTGAACTCCAGATCGGGTGGTCGACTTTTCGCTTTGAAGAAACGTGAGGCATAGATGCTGCAAATCTCACTGTGGCCGAAGCCTTCCGGGGTATCACACTAGTCTAGAAGGATAAAATCACCAATTATCCCATGGCCGAGCCCCTCAACTTCTTGTGTAGGCTGAACTGGGCTAAATCCTGTTCACGTTACTCTATCTTGGGTCGTCAGGGTTCAAATGCGTGATACAGCAGTGACTAGAAGGGCAGCGTAGCACCTCAATAACGCGTGTTATATGGGCTAAATTCGGGGTTTAGGTCTTCAAGTCCATGTGAGACAACCACAAGAGGCGATGGACACTGATTTAGCATCGATTCTTCTTCGGTAGATTTTCTGGAGGTCTATTAGACACGGTGAGCATTCATGCATATCCCGGAGATGTAGTGGGAGGGGCTGTGCACTTCCTTCGAACAGGAGGGCGGCTGCTCTTTAGCGAAATGCTGCTACCTTGGGGAAATTGTAATCATCTCTT